GAGGAGAGCTGCTTTGCTTCCCGGCCATAAAGCACCTTGGCTGGTCCCCTAAGTATGGCAGAAATGCCACTGGTGCCATGGGAATGGAGCTGCCCGCTCCCATCCTGCGGGGACATGGGCACCCTGTTTTCCTGCAGCAGCATGTATTTGGGATACAGCATTCCATTCAGAGAGGCACCTTGGGCCTAATCCACCTTTAGAAACCTGCTTGTTTTCCAGTTAAAATCTATAGGAAGCAAACCTCCACCTTTGTTGTCTCCTAAACCATGTATTTTTGCTGGTAGCAGCCCCACATGGGGCTGTGTCTCCCTGTGCACGTACTAAAAGGGCTGTTGTCCCCCTTAATTCAGGGTGTAACAGCAGGGAAGTGATACAAAGCCAGTAACTCGTCCACGTGTAGAAACCTGCTTGTTTTCCAGTTAAAATCTATAGGAAGCAAACCTCCACCTTTGTTGTCTCCTAAACCATGTATTTTTGCTGGTAGCAGCCCCACATGGGGCTGTGTCTCCCTGTGCACGTACTAAAAGGGCTGTTGTCCCCCTTAATTCAGGGTGTAACAGCAGGGAAGTGATACAAAGCCAGTAACTCGTCCACGTGTGCTTTCCCTCCCTCCAGCTCATAGACCGAGCCACCAGCCCTCGCGATGAAGGCGATCCCAAAGCTGAGCAGAAGACCCTGGAGGAGAGCTGGCAGGACTTGACCTTGATCAAAACAGCACCAAAACCCACCAAGAAGCAGAGAAGGGAAGACCTCAGCGAGCCCCTGCTCTCTCCAGCCCGGCCACCAGCACCAGGTGAGGCTCGTGGGGTGCGTGTGTCTCCCACCGTGGTCGGGAGGATCACCTTGACGTGCTCCAGGCTGGCTGTGCCCGTGGTGTGGGAGCTCCATGTTATTTTTAGCTGGGTGTCCGGAAAGCTGACCCGGCTGAGCCGGCCCTGCTGGGAGGATCCTAAGTCACAGCCCCATTTTAGGCAATGCCTGTGGTAACAGCATCTCTGGTAACACCCCGGCGTGGTGGGGGCTGTTGGGGCTTTGTTTCCTCTGGAGCTGGGCTGGTTTCTGGGTCTTCTCTGCCTAAAGGAAGGCGAGATCAGGAGCTGCTGCAGACAAAGGCTGCCTTGTCCTGCTGCCTGCAAAGCGCTGATCCAAGTGGGAAAGCAGATTCCAGACCAGAGCGGGGTTGTTTGGAGGATAAGGGCAGGCTGGATCAGCCTGAGCTGTCTTAGTAGGGCTGAGACTCGTAGGGACACTGGCAGTGAGCCCCTTGCCTGCTCTATCCATCTCCACCTGGGTGTGAGGCTGGGAACTGTTGGGTTTTGGGGTTAGTTTGGGCTCTGCCTCAGCCGAGAAGTGCTGTTAACACCAGAGGACTCGGTGGTGGCATCTTGGCCAGGGCAGCCTCACGTCCAGAGAGGTGGGATGAGAGCCGGGTACCCAGTTCATGCCTCCCCCTTGCCTGCAGCAGAAGCTGCTGGTTGCAGATGATCCGCTCAGGGCTGCCACTTCTCCCTCCCCTCTGCCCCATCCTCTTCTCGCAGAGCCCCAGGTCTGCTCTGCCCCTCCGGAGCCTCCTCGGGTGGAATCCATCCCTCCGCGCTGCCTCACGCTGCAGGAGAAGCTCCTCTCGCACTACAGCAGCCGCCTGGCTGTCCCCGAGGTGGAAGCATCCCTTGCCCTGCAGCTGGCCAGGAGCATCTGCACCCAGCTCCAGAGGTTCCTGCGGAGCAAGTGCCCGGAGCTGCCCTTTGGAAACCTCTTCCTCAGCGGTACCCTGCTTGATGGCCTCGGGGCCCTGGCAGCCGACCACATCCACCTCATGCTGCCCGTGGTCCTTGACACCACGCTCTGGAGCCTCATCCCTGGAGAGGACACCGTGGTGAGGAACCCTCAGTACTGGATGATCAAGAGGACTGATCTGGATTATTTCCCTCGTGGGTGCAGCCCCTGGGACAGGTTCATTGTGGGCCGGTACCTCTCCTCCAACGTGCTCAATGAGACCCTCCACAAGCTGCTGGTGGCCTCCATCAACTGGCCTGCTATAGGCAGCCTGCTGGGGAGCATCATCCACCCGGTCGTGGCCTCCCAGGAGCTGAAGCTGGAAGTGAAACATGACCAGGTCGAGCTGAGCATCACCCTCTTCCCAGTGGTGGAAATGGAGGGGAAGGTTCTTCTGGCTGCTCCTCCTGAAGGATTGGTGGAAAACCTCTGGCTTGAGAGCTTTTACAGGGCAGAGGTGTCGAAGGTGAAGGAGCTGGATGCCGGTGATGCCGGGGCTCGGCAGCACTGCCTCCGCGTCCTCAATGGCATCTGTAAGAGCCATCCCACCCTGCACAAACTGTGTGGCAGCCCCTTGACCCACGTCATCCTTCACCTCAGTGCCACCAGTTCAGACTGGGCAGAGGAAAGCCTTGCTGAGAGGTTCCAGGAGGTGCTGGAGGAGCTGGTAGGCTACCTGGAGCAAGGGGTCCTGCCTTCCTATTTCAACCACAGAATCAACCTCTTCTGCGAGCTGTTGGAAGAGGAAATCGATGAGATGGGCTTCATGCTCTACAGAGCCATATCTGAGCCAGAGCTGCTGCTGAAGGAGAAATGACTTGGTGCGTTGGGAGCTCCCAAATGTAGGGTGTTCCTCACCCACATGCTGCTCCCGTGAGGGGGTGGCGATGCTTGTAGTTGACTAGTCAGTAAGAGGCAAAGTTCTTGCACTTTATGAGGAAACAAAGCATTTTCTATCTGAATAAAAGGTGCCTGAGCAGAGGTGGGGGTTGGTGTAAGGAGCCTCTTATGGCGGCTCTGCGGAACAT